AAACCCTAAACCCCAAATGGGAGCCCGAAGCCATCCCTGAACCTGGGACTCTTCAGGCATGAGGCCGTATGGCGAAAGCCGCGCCAACGCTGTTATTATGATCATTATTACTAGTATTATTCCTTTTATTGTTAGTATTAGTATTATTATTTTTATTATTATGTAGCCGTTGGCTTCGCATCTTCTAGCTTGCCTGCAAGATGGCACTGGAAGGCTGAGGGTTTAGGGTTTTCTAGGGAAGTGAATATAACCCCCATACAGTCCCGATATATTGTATTCGCTTATTCCCTACTGAGAACCCGTAAGGTGAGGGCTTTGAGGAGTTGCGGGATTGAGATTTATAGTCCCCCTCAAGTAGATAGAATATGGGGTATATGGGGATCTTATTATAACATGCCCAAAGCCATATTCTATGTACTTAAGGGGGACTACACGGTTTTGGGTGGCAGGGTCTGCTTTGCAGGGAAACCCGGAACTTCGAAGCAGTCAGGGAAGTCATTGCTCTGGGATAATAATCATAGGGGGGGATTCTCAAAATTAGGGTCCCAAATCGAACCCCTGAATATCAGGTACCGTGATATGATTCAGAACCACAAGGGCCCATAATTTTCAAAATAATCACATAATTACGGCTACGCTGGTGATAAATCTGTTGTCCATTTTTGGAGCGTTCACACAAAGGGGTGGCGGGATTTCCCTGCTGAAGAAAGGAGATTGGAGTTTAACTTAGAGGCGTCCCAAGAGCGCAAAAGTCGCTCCGTATCCGGGAGTCACGGAAACTGAGGAGCCCCTTTTTTGCTGGGTCTGTCACGCCGATTTTTATATATCCTGATTCTGACAACCCCGGATGACCTTGAGATCCCCATGTACCATATGCTCCGCCTACTTCAGGGGGACCGTACCCCTAAACCCTAACCCTAACATCGTAAACGCTAAGCCCTAACATCCTAAACCCTACAGCCAAGCCCTAAGATCCTAAACGCTAAAGCCAAACCCGAACATCCTAAACCCTACACCGTATATCTACTGAATGGGGACTGTACTCTGTTTCCAAGGATTCTCACCCCCTTGGCCTACCAGACAAAGGATTGGTGGCAATGTCTGGGTCGCTGTCAGGAAACTCCAATTGAAGTTACCATAGGGTTAGGGTTTGTGGATTTAGGGGGGTTGAGGGATAAACGTATTCTATGGTATATAAAGTTTTCCTCACAAGAGGAAGAGTTCCTAAGCAGCAACCAAGAGGTTTCTCTCTGAACTCTGAGGAGGCCCAAGGAGAGGGGGTCAATGGTTCCTGAGAAGGCAAGCCGGGAAACCCTAAACACTAAAATCCCTAAACCCTAAGCTCCGTTTGCTTGAGTGGGAATTACATCCTAAACTCTGAACAGGTGCAGGTTTGAAAATGCGTGTTTCCATGCTCTAGTTACCCTTCGTTGCCAGTTAAGAGCCTGCAGATGCATAGAACATCATAAAAAAATCAGTTTCATAGGACCACCTAAGCCTTCCATAGAAAACCTCAAGTTCTTAAACTCTAAAACCTAAAACCCCCCTAAACGCCAGACCCTGAAATCCTAAACCTTTTAGATCCTCAACCCTAACCCTTAAACCCTAAACCCTTAAATGCTGAACCCTACCATCCCTTCGGCTTCCTCATCGTTTGGGAAACCTGTTGAGAGGCAATCATGGCGTTGCTGGGAAAAGCCGGGATCAGGGTTTAGGAGAGCCGGGCTTAGGGTTTAGGATTTCGGGCTTAGGATTTAGGATGTAGGGTTTAGGGCAGGAGTAGATCCGTAGAAACTGTGTCCTCACAGAGTTGAAGGAAAGGATGCAAAAATCGAAATCACTCCAGGTTTGAATGGGTTGGGGGTTTGAAGTATCAAAAACTCTAAACCCTAAACCTTAAGCCCTAGACCCATGGCATAGGCCGCCCACCTTCGATGGTCGGCGGCGCTTAAACCCTTCGACATCGATGGCGCAGGTCGATCCAGCACGCTCGCCTGCCTTCCGACAGCCAGGGGTATGGTAGCACCCACGAGAGGCCAGGTATCTGGAGGAGTTCTCCACCAGTGCTGGTCCCTTCGCCCAACAAAAGTGGGCTTGGTTGTTTCCAGGGTGGATGCTGGCGGGGTAGGGCCTCCTCTGCGAACGAATTTCAGGACCAGGAGGCCGGGGCAGCAGATCATGTTTTTCAGCACCCCCAAAACAGAAAGCAGCCATCGCCAGGACCTCAGGGCCTCCAGGGCCTTCTAGGGCCTCTCAAGCCCTTTCAGGGCCACTGTCCCTCCCAGATTGGTTTTTTAGCTTTCAGAAATCTTCAAGAACTGTCAGAAAGCCTCTCACAGGTTGAAAACTTTGACCATTTTTCAGGGGCCTGCAAAAAGGTAAATGAAATGTATTTGTGTTGTTGGCCAAGATGGACCTAATCGAGTTTAGGTCCTAAACCCTAAAA